GGTTTAGCCCCTGGATTTGTGTGTCTGCAAATATCAAATTATGCTCACACACAGCTGCTGAAAAACAGAGCAGCACAAAGATTAATTTTCTTTTAGTTCTAATTTTACCCAATTAAAAGCCCAAGTAAGAAGATCTAAACTTAAAAATGGCAGCTAAAAAAACCCCCACAAAATCTTAAATTTTTATGTTTTAATTTGAACAAAACTTATATTTTGATTCATAAATTTCATGTTTACTTTGAATATAAACTACTCACCTTTCTGCCACTTAAAAAATTTCAAGTTTAAAAGTTCCAGTTTAAAAATTTCAAGTTTAGAAGTTCCAGTTTAAAAATTTCAAGTTTAAAATTTCCAGTTTAGGGACCTGTGAGTTTATCAAAGGAGTCAAAGGCAGGCAGTGGATGGATACTGTTTATTGGTTCTTTCCATCACATCTGAGTTACAGGTGTAAAAGTCACACAAACTGCAGGTATAAACATGTAAAACAATACAAAAATAAATGGAAAGGTCATTTTATATTTACTGAATCAAGTTGTGTAATAAATACGAGAGGCAAAAAGCTTCAATCACACYGTTCAGCTGAACTGAAGTTACAGTAGTGTTTGTAAATAACACGTTTGTTTGTTTTTTTTAACTTAAAAGTTGCAAATATTAAAGCATTGAGAACTAGTATAAAAGTGAATTTTGGCACATTGTAAAGTGAGAAGTGTTACATCAGGATCTGGCTGTTGGGTGAAAACRAAGCGATTTCTCACGAGCTTTCTGAGGTACATTTTTAACAACCTAAGATTAGATCGACCTGGTGATTCTAACAACTCACAGGTTACAATTCACTATACTAGTCACAATTTTTTTTTTCCCTTTTAAAGAATACCAACGTATTCCAGAGCTTAAATCTGTGCAAATTCAGACAAGTTTCAATTAAAAAAAAAACAACAATTAATAAAAAAACAACAACTCAACTTATCAGGGAACATTTACATGCAAATTAACTCCTCCCTGCAATCCTGTGTGTTAATTGCAAAGTGTAAAAGTGGATTAATCTCAAATTGCACAGCTTCATAAAAATACTCCCGGATTGCAGAGCAGCTCAAGTTGCAAATGTTCCCCTCCTAAGTTTCTCACATTTGAATAATCCCTATAACTTCAGTAACTTCTGATCACACTCATTCTCGGTGAGGAGAAAGAAAAATATTAAAAAACACCACCACAAGCTGCTAACAAAGGTCAGCAAAGCGTGGAAACCCCTTGAGGACTCTTCAGCACTTCCCAACAGCAGGAATGCCTGGACACAAATTTTTTCCATGTAAAAGAAAAAGAAACAGTGTAATGGCACTTTTGCTGTATCCAAACATTGGTGGGTTAGAAAATGGTGCTTTTTTKTKKTKTTTTTTTTTAGTTACAGTAGCAATAAAACGTTCAAACCTCAATCCTCACCTGGATTTCCAAGGAGTGAGGACATCAAATCCCCTGGGATGGGGATGTCCATACAGTACAAACAGTTCTGACCAGAGTACAAAAGTTACGCTCTTCTTAAAAAATAAAAAAAAAAAAAAAAAAAAAAAAAATAGGCAAAAAGCACTGCTGATCATCAGAATTAACTCCCAAAAAATCAGCAGCTGCTTTTCGACATCAGCAGCATCAGGCATTTACATATTTCAGTCCTCAAAGAGTTTTCTTGTAGAACAGTTTAACCATTTGTGCTAATATTTGTCACTAGGTTAAATTTTAAGTCCTTTCACCAAAACTGTTTTATTTTTTTCCTTTAAAAAAAAATGGGGGGTGAAACCCCCGACATCCATTTATTTTGGGAATAAATGGTGTCATCTGCAAGGCACTACTACATTTAAAGGATACCATTGTCACAGTTTCACTATTTCGGTATTTTTCTTTTCTTTTAAATTCAGTTTCGAAGTCACAGTTCAAAAAGAAGCGGTAAAAATTGAGGTAATTAATTTCTTTCAATACCAAAATACATGAATTGAGCCAGTACCAGTCTGGTGAAAGGTCTTTGTAATACACAGCTATGACCATAGAGCACATGCAGCACAGGACAGGAGGGTTCTAGGCCTTTGTTCCCAGCTCTCCTGCTCCAGTTTTTAAGGAATTTCAGCTCCATTTGTGCACTCACAAACCAATTTTCAGCATTTCTTTGCTTTTTTATCCACAGGGGCTCAGAATTCCAGCTGGATTAGCCCTGTTCTTACTGATCTGAGAGCTGCACAAATCAGAATCCTTAAAAAGAGTTCAGCAGAGCAAAAAATCAGCTACAGCATCTTCATCTATTTGCCATCAATTGCACTTAAATCTACTCTTTATCGACTGGCGAGTCGAGACGGAGCCTCCCAACCACTGGGATTTCTTCCCACAAAACATCCCACTACTCTAGAAATATATGGCTTTGCAGAGCAGAGWGCTGGGACTGGAAAAGGAGCATGCTGGGTTTACACTGAGTTCATCAGCAAAGCAATCCTGATCAAAGAAATCCTGGATTTCCCTTTCCAAATGCCCCCTTTTTTTTATTGCAGCGCTACCCGCACCAGAATTTCAGGGAATTTGAGAAATTCTGGGCTGAGAAATCATTTCATGCAACCAACTGGACTTGGTTGTAAACCCCTGCCTGCCTCCCAACCCCACTGCAAGCTACTTTTGCTCTACAGGCACTACAGGATATTTAAGACTAAAAATTAGCCATGCATAGATAGATAAAACTCACGAGCCTTATCAGGATGCTCCACACTTGTGATCCAGGGAATAACCCCCAGGAAAGCCTAAAAACACAAACTAATTGCTGGCTTTTACTGGCCTCTAATAGGATACAAGTAGTTTTTTTTTATATAAAGTCTCGTGGTGTGCAAAACAAAAAAAAAAATATTAAAGTATTAAAAGTCTTCGATTCAGACAGCTTTTTAAATCTAGGAGGAAAGCGAGGAGTGAAACCTCATCAACATCTCTGTCCCAGCCTGCAGCACCTGGAATTCCAGCAATGAAGACCAAAACCACCTAAAATGTGCTTCAGGTCACCGAAATTTCGGTCATTTCRTATTCCAAAGGTAAAAAATACATCTCTTAAGTAAAGCACAAACTCTAATTTAGCCTCAGGTTTGATGGCAGGGGTTAAAATCTCATTTCCCTGCTGTGGCATGAGGCTGTGCAGACTCATTTGAAGCATTTTAAGTGTCCTGCAAGAGATTTTTCATTCCATTTCTCACTGTATCACAAACATCTGGTCAGAAAGAAAAGCTGCATTAAAAGATTGAGCTGTCCCTAAGGYGAAGGAATATGAAAATAAAAAAATTCCCGCTGGGCTGTTCTCACCTAAATTCCAAACACATGCACGCTACAATAATCAGCTTATTCAAATAAACTCCAATAATTGCCTGTAAGTAGCTGCTCAGGTACTTTATAACCCTTCAGTCAGTGATTTATAAAGTCTCCTTTTAAATTAGACTGAATTAAGTTGGGACAAGCTGCCAGCATTCCTGTTCTATCATTCATGAACTATAAAAACGTCGTTGCAAGGACTTGAAAAAGCTCATTTCTCGTCACGGTGTGCAAACTCTTCTGGAAGCTCCACAAGCAAGTTCCTGCTTCTTTCAAGTAAAATCCTTTGATATTTTTTACCTTTGGAAATCACTCATCTTCACAAAAAGGAATTCTTCAGCTGAAGAATCGCCCCTTTCCCTTGCCYTGCTTAGTTTGTAGGACTGAAATAAGAATTCTTCAGGGATAATCTAAGCAAAAGCAAGGTGAACATTGCAGCCAGTCGGGAAATATTTTCCAGAACYCCAATGAGAGCACTGGGAAGAAATTAAGATTTCTCCACTGATTTCACCCKGAAATGTATAAATAGCTTTTCTTTCCAAAAAAATCAGAATTTCGAGTGCAGACTCAAACTTGTGCCGAGGTTTTGAGCCGGGCTGGTAAAGGTGGGGGTGGGAGTGTTGCCCCATTTCTCATTTTRGGAACATCCTGACAGYTGTGGGATTAGYRACTCTGCAGTATTTTTCCCAYTGTTCCCCCATTTCTCGCTTTGGGAACACCAGCACTGTGGGATTAGGGACCCATAAAAGGATTTCCCATTGTTCCCCCATTTCTCGCTTTGGGAACACCCCAACAGCTCTGGGATCAGGGACTCTCTGCAGAGTTTTTCCCACTGTTTCTTCATTTTTTACTTTGGGAATGCCCTAGGAGCTGTGGGATTAGGGACTCAGAACAGAGGTTTCCCCACTGTTCCCCCATTTCTCGCTTTGGGAACACACCAACAGCTCTGGGATTAGGTGCTCATCTGAGTTTTCCCCATTGTTCCCCCATTTCTCGCTTTGGGAACATCCTGACAGCTGTAAATTCAGGGATTCCAAGTTTTTGAACTATTCCCCCATTTCTCACTTTGGGAATATCCTACAGCTCTGGAAGCAGGGACCCTTCAGAGTTTTCCCCACTGTTCCCCCATTTCTCAATTTGGGAACATCCTGACAGCTGCAGATTCAAAGATTCTAAATTTTTGAATCATTCCCCCATTTCTCACTTTAAGTTCACAACAACAGCTCTGGAACTAGGCACCCAATTCTGAATTTTTCCCAACATTCCCCTATTTCTCATTTTGGGAACATCCTAGCAGCTGTGGGATATGGGACTCTGGGAAAGTGTTCCCCCATTTCTCGCTTTGGGAACATCCTGACAACTGCAGATTCAGGGATTCCAAGTTTTGAATCATTCCCCTATTTCTCACTTTGGGAATACCCTACAGCTCTGGGATCAGGGACTCTTCAGAATTTTCCCCACTGTTCCCCCATTTCTCGCTTTAGGAACAGCCCAGATGCTGTGGGATTAGGGATTCTCAAAGGATTGCCCCATTTCTCRCTTTGGGAACACCCCAACAATTATGGGATTATGTGCTCATCCAAGCTTTTCCCACTGTTCCCCCATTTCTCACTTTGGCAATACATCAACAMYTGTGGGATTAGGGAYYTKGAGAAAGTGTTCCCCYRTTTCTYGCTTTGGGAACACACCAAGAGCTGTGGGATTAAGGAGCCAATTCTGAGYTTWTCCCATTGTTCCCCCATTTCTCRCTTTGGGAACATCCCAGCAGCTGTGGGATTAGGAGCTCATCCAAGATTTTCCCATTGTTGGCCCCATTTCTCACTYTGGGAACATCCCAACAGCTCTGGGATTAGGGACTCTGAGAAAGTGCTCCCCCATTTCTTACTMTGGGGACAACCTAAAATCAGTGGGATTAGGGACTCTTTCAGATTTWCCCCATTGTTCCCCCATTTCTCGCTTTGGGAACACCCCAGCAACTGTGGGATTTAGGATTTTTCTATTTTTTTCATAATTCCATTATTTCTTGCTTCAGGAACATCCTGACAGTTGTGGGATTAGGGATTCTTCAGAGTTTTTCCACTGTTCCCCCATTTCTCGCTTTGGGAACACCCCAACAGCTGTGGGATTTGGGACTCAATTCTAAGTTTTTCCCATTGTTCCCCCATTTCTCGCTTTGGGAACATCCCAGCAGCTGTGGGATTAGGGCTTCTTCTATTTTTTTTTTTAATTATTCCCCATTTCTTGCTTTGGGAATATCCTGACAGCTGTGGGATTAGGGACTATTCCAAGTCAATGCTCCCCCATTTCTCGCTTTGGGAGCCCCCCAAACAGTTATGGGATTAGGGACTGTTCCAAGTCAATGTTCCCCAAATTCTCACTTTGGGAACCCTCAAACAGCTGTGGGATTAGGGACTGTTCCAAGTCAATGTTCCCCCATTTCTTGCTTTGGGATTAGGGACTGTTCCAAGTCAGTGTTCCCCCATTTCTCACTTTGGGATTAGGGACTGTTCCAAGTCAGTGTTCCCCCATTTCTCACTTTGGGAACCTTCAAACAACTGTAGGATTAGGGATTGTTCCAAGTCAATGTTCCCCAAATTCTCACTTTGGGAACCCCCAAACAGCTGTGAGATTGGGGACTCCTCTAAGTCAATGTTCCCCAATTTCTTGCTTTGGGATTGGGGACTCCGAGTCAGTGTTCCCCAATTTCTCACTTTGGGAACACCCCCAATCCCACACCCCTGCTCCCGTGCAACAGGGGAGCCCAGGGATTGTTTGACAATCTGCACCACGGCCCAATTCCACAATTACATTCCAACCTTTAAGGAAATAAATAATTTTGCATCTTTTCTCCTTCTTCCTCTTTCTTCTTCCTCGTCTTCTTTTCCCCACGTTTCCACCACAAGCCAGAGATTCCAGGTGATGCTTTGTACAGTCTGGAACTGAGGTGAAGTGGAAGCAAACCTGACAGTAGGAACAGCTAAGCAGTTACCRGATTAAACGCCAACCTTAGGGGATTGATCCCATAATTTGGGAAGRAGTGCTGAAAACAGACATTTCACTCGATTTTCTCACGAGCCAGGAGGATAAATGGCATTTTTGGTTCCTGATAACAGGACACAAATGCCCTGGACCCACGTGTTTAAGTCTTCTGCTCAAAGAGATCATGGTACTCCTGCTCCTCCAGCTCCCTGTTGTACTTCTCAATTTCCCTGTTGGCTTCTTCCAAATAATCRTTCATGAACTGGTCCATTACTGGGTGGGGAAGGTTAAGGAAAGAACATTTGTGCAAATGGGATTTGGTAGGAAAGAACATCCAGGTTTGAAGGAAGTGCCAGTTCTGGGATACTCAGTGAAAGCAGAAATTGAGTTTCTGATCAATGGATCATCTTTGGGAATGATCCTGTTCAGTCTGAGCTATCACAGCTCAGTGTTCACAGGGAATAAAGGAGCTGCACATGAAGAAGGAGATAAAAACAGCAAAACTACAGCAGGGTCAGATCAGAATTTAGGAAGAAATTCTTCCCTGGCACAGATTGCCCAAAGATATTTTACACTCCCCATCCCTGCAAGTGTCCAAGGCCAGGTTTGGATGGGGCTTGGAGCAACCTGGGATWGYRGGAGGTGYTGGAATGAGATCAGCTTTAAGGTGCCTTCCAACCCAAAGCATTCTGTGACTCTGTGAACACATTTACAGCTGTTTTGGTCAAACAGAATTCTTAAAAAAAACTGCCCAAATCTCAAGTACCCCAGAAAGGGTCAACCAGGGCACGCAGCTTTCACTGCCAAACACCAAAGGGGAGGTGGAGTGAAGAATTCTGGAAATGTTTGGGTTGGAAGGACCTTAAATCCCATCCAATTCCACCCCCTGCCATGKGCAGKGACACCTYCCACTATCCCAGGSTGCTCCAAGCCCCATCCAGCCTGGCCTTGGGGACTGCCAGGGACCCGAAGGCACCTGTGATTTGCCAGTGAATATTAAAATTTTAAAGCTGGACACAGAAAATAACTGCTCTGATCCCAAAGCAGCATCACAGAACCCACCTGGATTTTTGTCARCTTTGSTKWWC